GTGGAAGATGGCGTTATTATCAGATCAACATTCGATAGATGTGCTAAGTATTGCGAGACAAACTCCAAGTGCCTCGGTAGCCTAACAGGGAAGGCGACGGCCCGGAAAGCCGGAGATTCCAGGTTCGACTCCTGACTGAGGAGTTTTTTTTTTTCGCAATATTTTAAAATTAGTTAGGAGGGTATACGGGGTCCTTTATATATACGTGATGCAAATCCCGCATCCTATATGGAGGAAAAAAAATTATTTCATCGTATATGTGTATACATATACATATATTGAAGCACATTCTGCATAACATCCTGCAAACGGCTCTTACTACCCGATATTTCATTTATTAGTTTAAAAGACTTCAGAGCCCGAAGTAATCTTCTTCTTGTTCTTTATTAATTCAAAAATTAATAATTTAGTTTTTTTATCAACGGAAGGTATACGGAATCAAGTAATTCAGTATCCTTCATCAAATTAATGCTGTTTTTTTGCAGTTTTATGTGTAGCATCTCTGAAATTAATCGTTTATGGTAAAATCGTTCAATGTCAAGATTTTCCACGTCATTCCAAACAAAATCATGACCAAAATCGCCCCGGTGCTTACTAACAACAGATTGACGGCCACGATCCTGCCGAAAATTGCGCTGGTGTTCAGAAATTCTTGTGCTTAATTGTCTACTCGATTGACCAACGTATGAAGCGTCACATGAAGAACAATTAATTTTGTAAATAATGTTACTNTTTTGGTTGCGTTCAAGTTTGTCCTTATGTACTTTAATATATTTCTTCAGAGAGTTAAAAGTTCTGTAGGATATTTTGACATTTGANATTCTAAGAGATCTCGAGATGCTACTAGTGACAGCAGGTAAATATGGCAACGAAATGTAATTGAAAGTCTCTCCTCCATCCAAACACCCACCATTAATGTCATTCTCATTGCTCACCTTATTCAATTTATTATTAAACAAAGAGTGAAGTCTCTTAATAAATGATCTAATAATTAAGTCGAGAGGATAATCATTGGCCAATAGAATTTGTATTGCTTTAATTAAGTTATCTTTATGAAAAATCGGATGTGAGAGTAAAATAGCTCTGTCAACAACACCCGAAATGACTGCTAACTTTTGTTTGAAAGGATGGTGTGAGGAGAAATTAAGGTAGCGACCCGAAAAGGATGGTTTTTGATACCAATTAAAGATAATTTTATTATCAATAACTTTAATCGAAGTGTCTAAAAAATTTTTATGGATCTATTTTCTTCAATTTCAATAGTAAATTTAAGACGAGGATGGTAAGAATTAAATATTTGGAGAACTATATCAATACTCTCATTTGGAGCCGACAAGAGAATATCGTCTACATATCTGTAATAAATAGGCAGAGTTATATCCAATCTTTCCAAACAACAATCTTCAAGGTCTTGTAAAACAATATCAGCTATGATTGGAGAAAGAGGGGATCCCATAGGAGTACCAAAGGTTTGTTGAAAAATGGTCCCGTTAAATGTAAAGTAGGTTGAAGACAGAACAAACTCTAATGCTCGAATAAAAGGATTAAGGGGTATTTTTGTATGGTCCTTAATGAAATCCCATCTCTTTCTCACTCCACTCAAGGCCAAATCCAACGGTACATTGGTGAACAATGAGACGACATCAAGCGATAAAAGTACATTATTTTCATCAATAGGTGAGCC